AGGTGGGCGTTAGATGAAGCGCCCGTTCTCATGCTCAGTGCACCCCCGAGACCCGTGCCCAAGGCCGGGCACTGAGCCAGGCCCTCCGTGGAAACAGTGCGTCGGGCCTGAGGGCCGGAGGAGGCAGTGCCGTCACGACCCGCAGGCCGCCTGGTAAGTCTGACCACAGGGATGGACACGGCACACCCCTGCCCCTGGGCCTGGAGCCACGTCCGAGTCCAGGCTGGTCAGGGCAGCTGGACACTCACCTGTGAAGCAGAGACAATCCCACTGTCCACAGGGAACTGGGACTCTGTTGAGACCTCAGCCCCACGGCTTTTGGCAGCTGGAGTCATTTCTCTGTCCCCGACACTCACGAGGTGGCACACATCGGCCCTGGGGAAACTCGGGTCTCCTTTCCCCAGGGGAGCCGTTCCACAGCCGGCCCTTCATTGGCAAGGACAGATTGGTGACACCGTGGAGTGTGCAGTGGCAGTGCTCTGCCCCGCCCGCGGCCTCACCCTGCCCCATCCCTCCCCGCAAGCCCAGAGCAGAGCGAGGGCTGTTCCAGGGACCGTAACAGACGCGCCTTTTCAGGCTCTGCGTCCACAGCCACCGGTCCTCCTGGGAAGCCTGGAGCCAGACCTCCAGTCACAGGACTCAGCCTGGAAGGGGTAGGGGAGGGTGTGTGGTTCAGAAAAGGGATTCTGGGTAAGGAAGGGGAGAGGAGGTCCGTGAGGAGCCCCTGCACCAGGCAGGGCAGAGATAACAGGGCGGCAAAGCAGGGGGGGCACTGGCAGGGCGGCAGGGAGGGGCTGTGTGCAAGCGCCCTGCAGATTGAGAACCACGGCCCGTGTCCCACTCCCGGAACCTGAAAACCTGTCAGGTTACGAGGCAAAGAGGGGTTGAGGTTGCTAACCTGCCGACCCTGAGTTAGGGAGACCCTCCTGGTGCCCTGGGTGGGCCCAGAGTGCCCACAGGGCCTTGCAAGGACATCAGGGAGGCCGGAGCGCCGAGAGCCGCGCAGGGGAGGTGCCCAGGGCCTGCTCTGAAGCTGAAGGGACCAAAGGCTGACGCTCCTCTGACCCAGGTCGGGTCCTGAATGACCCCCGGGACCCCTCCGGGCCTTGGGCCATTTCGGGAGGGCTAGTGGGTCTGTTTGAACAGGGACGGAAGGAGGGCCAGCGGGGCAAAGGGGGAGGGGCCTCCTGATGGGGAGCGTCCGGAACTGCTGAGGAAGAGGCTCCAGGCGGACCGGGAGGCCCCCACGGAGGAGGTGAGTGCCGGCACCGCGCTGCGGCGGAGGGGCCACCGAGGGGGCGGCTCAGCAAGCACCGGGCAGGACGCCCGCCCCGCGAGGAGGGGGTGCGCACGGCTGCGGCAGGGGCTGAACACAGGCCAAGGAAACGGCGTGCGTGCGGGTCCCCTGGAGGGGAGCATCCGGGGGGCGCGGAGGGCGGGCAGGGGTGTGCGGACGGCAACGGGCTCTGCCACCTGCCCCCCCGCGCTCGGCCGGGGCCCAACCTGAGGGGGGCCAGGTTCCTTCCCAGGGACCCCACCCCCTGGATGAAACCTCTGCCTCGGGCTAGGCTGGGAAACAGTCCTCCCTGCTCTGTTGTTCCTGGAATGACTCTCCCGTTCCAGGACCCTCAGGGCCTCAACTTTTTGGTACCAAACTGCCCTTTTCTCTAAATAAGCAGCTCTTCCCCTGACGGTTCCAAGAAAGAAACACGACGGCCCCATAAGAGAAGACGTGCAGCCGCCTTCGTAATCAGAGGAACGGGGTCCACGCGACACCGGGACCGGCAGACGGGACGCTGCTCTGCCCGCCAAGCCGCTGGGACGCAGGTGATGCCCAGGAAGGGGACCCGGCGCACCTGCGCCCCAGGAGGTGCCACGTGGACGCGGGGCCCTCGCACGGCACGTCGGCCCACGGAGCCCACGCACAGGGACGTTCACGCACGGGCCCACGCACGGCACGTCGGCGCACGGCACGTCGGCGCACGGGTTCCGCCCTCTGACCCGGGAGACGGGGGAGTGCTGCGCTCCACGCCAGTGGATGAAGGAGCAGGTGAGGATGCGGGGGCGGCGCGCGTGTTCTTGTGAGAAGGGGACGTGGAGGAGTGAGCGAGTGTGACGGGGACGGGCACCGGAATGTGCTTCGTGTGTGCGCGGGAGCGGAACCTGGGCAGTGGGCGGGGCGTCTCTGGAGGTCCCTCAGCGCTGCCTCACTGAAACGTAGCCTCACGTCTAAGTCGGATGACCTGTTTGGAGTGAGTCAGAAGCTGAGCAGCCGCCGCCTGTGGCGCGGCTGACAGGGACCCGGGGGCGCCGCGGGGCAGCAGCCTCTGAGCTGGGGGCGGGGCGGGGCGGGGCTGGAAGAGGGAGGGAGAACCCGGAGCCTCCCGCGGCCGCGGTCCCCACCCCAGGCCTGGCCGGGCCTCCGAGGGCCGGCTGGGGCGCGTCCCGGGACGTCGGTGCTCCCGGGCTTCGCGTCGGAAGCTGCGGTCCTGACTCTGGTTTCCGACGCGGCGGCCTCCCACCCTCCGGGCTGGATCGCGGCGGCCCTCGGAGGGTCCAGGGCGCTCTCCCTTGTCGGCCCCCGTGGCCTGAGCGCTGACTTACAGCGGGGAGAGGGGCAGGCTCTGCAGCACGGCCGAGTTATTAGCACCGTGGCACGTCCATGCGCGCCGCTGACTCAGCGCTTTAATGCGCCTCTTAACTATGCATCAGAGCCCTGATAAACGTGAGTCATCCTGGGAATGACTTCGCAGCTGTTCGCCTGCCGCATCGCTGAGGCATGTTTTTTCGGTGAACTCATCAAAGGACCTAGATTTTAATCAAAGGCTTCGGAATCATCTGTGGGGCCAAGTCAAATCCCTGTGAAGCCGAAGGGAGGTCTCTGGTGGCACACCACAGGGCTCTGCCAGTAGAGCACGCTGTAATTTAGGTAAAGGCGGCAGGGCGTGAATATCACATCTGTCAGTTACCCAGAGCCTGGTGGGGCAGGTGGATATGACAGACAGCGGAACCAAGGTCACAGTTTCCTCAAGGGAAGAGATTCGTGCACGACCCGAGTAATTGTAGAATCTTACATACGAAAACCTGCCGTTTATTGTGTTTGACCGACCAGCGCGACCAGGGTTCCTCAAAAGGAGGATGTGACATAAGTAAATGCAGAACTGCCGAGGTGCGCGCGCGGAGGGTCCTGTGAGGCGCTCGCCTGTCGCAGCTGTGGCGCTTGGGGGAGGATTCGTGGTGACACAGCTGCCCCCAGGGATCAGGACTCGGGGGGACTCCCAGGACAAAGGGGCAGGACTGGCAAGGCAGGCGAGCTTCTCCTCAATTATAGACTAGGTCACTTTCCAGGCCTTGGAATTATTGTCTATTAGTACAAACGGTCAAGTTGCATTGGCCAAGTAAAATTGTAAAAAAAGTGCTTTCGATTTTATATTTTTAAAACGCTAGAACTCTTTGTTCAAATGAAATCTTCTGTGGAAGAGTAGCTCGTAAAGCCGATGAAAGCAGGGCTCTCTTTCTTGAAACGGGGCGGGGGCCGGGAAACCCATCTGCGTGGGCGCCCCCCCACAGTCCACGGCCCTTTGTGCGTCTCCCAGGCAAGTGGGAGCTTCTGTGCTCTGTTCCTGTAGCAGCTGACAAGAAGCCGGGGGTCGGGGGCCTGCTGTTCTAATGGCCTCCTGGAGGGTCTCGTCAGGATGGTCAGACTTGGAAACGTGATCCAGAACTGAGATTGCAAAGTTAGGTTTAACAGCTGGGCAACCCCACTCAGCCCTGTCCGTCATACTCAGCAGAGGCCGTGCTCCCGGGACGCCTCAGCATTTGGTTTTGGGTCCAGTCTTAGCGCTGCTCATTTCTCCTCTTTCTCGGTGCCAGGCATGAGGCCACTGTCAGGGGCTTCCCTGTGCAGCCACTTCACAGCCTCGAGGCGGTGGAGACAGGCGTGGCCACCGTCCCTGGGTGGAGGGGAGTTCGCGCCTGCGTCCCACTGGGTCGGCTGCCTTTCTCTCCCTGGATGGGGGGCACTGACAGCTGCCACTTGCCCCGTCCTCCCGCAAAATGCATTTCCCAAACTTCCCTGCAGCCAGCCCAGGCCACGAGTGGGGACCCCCTTTCTTCCCGGCTTTCCGAAAGCTGGGGCGTGGATGTGCCAAAGCCATCTCCGGCCACGAAGACAGGACAACAGAGAAGGAGGGGGGGGGGCTCTGACCAGCCAACCCGTGGTGGATGGCCTGCCCACGGGAGAGAGAAGTAAACGTTTGTCTGTTTAAGCCACCGTCACTGGGAGACTCTTCCTCTTACACCTGTGTTTCTTTTTACCATCTCCACTGGGTTGCCTTCTAACCTGCCGTTCTAGAATGGCCGTCTCTCTGTGGATCACGGATGGAGCACATTGCTGAGTGACCAAAACTGACTTCTGCTATGGACATAATGGAAAAACAGCATTGGATTTACCCTTCCGCCTGACACAACTAGAAAACCAGACAAGACACAGGACATTGGAACACAGGCGCCACAGAACAGTGATTGTCAGGAAGAAGGGGCCCTTTAGTGAGTGTGGGCTGCCATCACAGCCTGGGGGCTTAAACAGCATGTTTCATTTCCCACAGCCCTGGAGGCTGGAAGTCTGAGATCTAGGTGTCAGCAGGGCTGGCTCCTCCCGAGGCCTCTCTCCTTGGGTCCTCACGTGGCTCCCGCTGTGCATCTGTGTCCTGATCTCCTCCTCTTATAAGGACAGCAGTCCTGTTGGATTCGAGCCCACGCATGTGAACTCATTTGCCTTACCTACCTCTTTAAAGGCCCAACACAGAACACGACCGCATGTTTCAGCTGCATCACACAAAATTTTTTGTCTGTTTTTGTGTTCATTAAGTTAAAAATATTTTGTAAATTTGCCTTTTTTTGGAGAGCCTGTAGGGTTTTTTTAAAAGAAGTGTGTTATTTAATTTCTGAGTATTTAGGAATTTCCCAGGTATCTTTCCATTGTTGATTGCTAGTTTAATTCCATTGTGGTCAGAGAACATACTTTATACAATTGCAGCCCTCTTGAATTTCTTGAGGCTGGTTTTATGGTCCAGAATATGTTCTGTGTTGGTGAATGTTCTGTGTACACTTGAAAAGAACGTGTGTCCTGCTGCTGTGGGTGGCTGTGATCTCTGTGTGTCAGTTAGATCAAATTGATTGATAGTGTTGCTTAAGCCTTCTATATCTTTATAGATCTTCTTTGGACTTGTTCTGTCAGTTACAGAGAGAACATAGTTGAAGTTTCCGGTTACAACGGTGGATTTGTCCTTCTAACGTCTGTGGTATCTGCAAGTCTCTTTAGTTCCACCGGTTTTTTGCGTCATGTATTTTGACTCGGTTATTAGGTGCAAACACATGTAAGATGGATGGGTTCTCGTGGTGAATTGGCCCCTTTGTCATTTAGAAATGGCCCCTTTTCTCCCTGGTGCAGTTCCTTGTTCTGAATTGACTTTGTCTTGGTTACGCTGCCACTTTAGCTTTTGTCTCATTCCTATTCTCATATGTTTTTTCTATCCTTTTAGTCTGTCTTCATCTTTAAAGTAGTGTTTCAGATAGCTGTATCTTCCTTGTAAAATCCAACCTGCCAGTCTCTGCCTGTTAACATGGAGTGTTTTGACCATTCACATAATGTGATTGGGTTTCAGTCTACAATTTTGCTCTTTTTTGTCATTTCATCCTTTCATTATTTCTTTTTTCCCCCTCTTTTCCTGACTCCTTTGGATTAATTTAGTACTTTTTATGTTTCCATTTTATTTCCTTTTTTGACTCGAGGCATACTTTGTTTTAAAATTTTGTGATTGATCTAGAGTTTGAAGTATGTGTATTTAGTTGTCATTGATAGTTATCACAATGTTAAAGATACACATTATGCCTCTTCACATATTTTGTGAGCACTTATCATTCGAATACACTGATTCTACCCTCCTCAGCCTTTGTGCCACTGTTTTCATACATTTTACTTCTATGTTTGCGCCGAAAATCTTGGCTCTGTGTGCACCAATGCTGAACAAAAATACAGAGACAGAGTTTTGGAGGAAGGGAAAGAATAGCTTTATTCTTTGCCAGGCAAAGAGGGAACACAGCTGGTCAGGGCCTCAAGAACTGTGCTCCCTTTCGAGAGGGTAGTGAGGAGTTTCATAGTAATGGTTCAAAGAGGGTGTGATCAGCTCGTGGACACTCTTCTGATTGGTTGGCGGTGAGGTAATTGGGAGTCGGCATCATCAACCTTCGGGTTCCAACTGGTCTGGGGTCTCCGTGCTTGTGAGCAGCAGACAGTTAACTTCTACCACCTGGAGGGGGTTTCAGTATCTGCAAAACAGCTCAAAGATATTGTTGTGTGCATCCCTCGAGGGGGAACCAGGACCTGCCCCAAGGCTGCGCTATTGCTTCCTGACTGCTCCTCCCTGGTCTCTGCATCCTCTCGCTTCCCTGATTAGCAACTGTTTGAACCTGCTCGTTGGAACTAAGGGAAGGTCCTGGAGGCTGAATGAAGCCCATTTCCTGTAATCAAGAAATGGATGGGGGACACAGAAAGGCTTTTGTGCCCAGGAGCCCACAGGGCCCTGCTCCTTATCATCTGTTACAGAGGCCCACAATTTATTTTGATTTTGCTTTAAACAGTTGATTATCTTAAAGCAATTTAAAAGAAATTTTTTTATTGGAGTATAGTTGATTTACAGTGTTGTGTTAGTTTCAAGTGTACAGCAAAGTGATTCAGTTACACATACAATTATATCTATTTTTTTCAGATTCTTTCTCCTTATATTACAAAATATTGAGTATAGTTCCCTGTGCTATACAGTAGGTCCTTTTAGGTTATCTGTTTTATATATAGTAGTATAATATTAAAGCAATTTTAAAAAATATATTTATTTATTTTTGGCTGCGTTGGGTCTTCGTTGCTGCGTGCTGGCTTTCTCTAATTGTGGCGAGTGGGGGCTACTCTTCGTTGCGGTGCACGTGCTTCTCATTGCGGTGGCTTCTCTTGTTGTGGAGCACGGGCTCTAGGCTCTCAGGCTCAGTAGTTGTGGCACGCGGGCTTAGTTGCTCTGCGACAGGCGGGATCTTCCAGGACCAGGGCTCGAACCCGTGTCCCCTGCATTGGCAGGTGGATTCTTAACTACTGTGCCACCAGGGAAATCCCAAGGCAATTTTTAAACTGGAGAAAAACAGTCTTTTATGTTATGTGTTTACTCTTTCCAGTTACTTTGTGTAGATTTGAATTTCCTTTAGGTTTCATTTTTCTTCTGCCTGAAGCACTTCCTTTAACATTTTATGTAATCGAAGTGTGCTAGCAGTGGAGTTTTTCAGCTGTTGTTTGTCTTAATGTCTTTATTTTGCCCATATTTTTGAAAGATATTTTCACTGGCATGGAATTCTAGGTTGACTTTTTTTCATTCAGCATTCGAGAAGATATTGTCTCTTGGTTTGCATTGTTCTTGATAAGATGTGTTTGTTCATTGTTAACCTAGTTTCTCTTGTAATCGGGAAGAGCCTTTGTATCCTGTTACCAGTTAATCACTAAAGGGATGCTGCCTATAAGCTTAAATTCTCCATAACGGCCCATCTCTGGGACCCCTGCCTCCCAGGTAATGAGCATTCAGCTAAAATACCTGTGTTTAGCTCCCAGGAAACCTCCTGAGCAGGCCCACCTGTGAATGACAGCAGGAGGGAGAAATTAACACCTCCCCTCCGGAGGCTGCCGGGAACCAGGAAGTGCTTGGCTTTAGTCCCGCCCCTTTTAGTATAAAAGCCTGAATTCTGACTCAGCAAGAGGGTTCTTTGGGCCACGGGCCCGCCGCCTTGCTCTGCTGGCTTTCCGAATAAAGCCGCTATTCTTTGCCCCAGCAGCTCGCCTCTCAGTTTATTGGCCTGTCGTGTGGAGAGCAGGACGAGCTTGGACTGGGTAACACCGTCATTCAGACTCTCTGGAGTCTGCAAGATGTTTCCTTCTATAAGCATCTCGTTTTAAAGCTAGTATTTTTCCCACGTGGAGTAGCACCTTAAACCCTGAGATTAACGACTCGGCAGGGAAATGGGGAATAAAGAGGGTAAATAAGGAATCGGGCGGCCCCGGCAAGCACTCCAGGCACTGCTGCGGAGGCTGGCCGCTTTCTCCTTACGTCGTCTCGCCCGGGCCTGCCAAGCGGCTTCCTGATGCCGGAGGTCAGCGCCCCAGTAGCTGCAGATGCGCTTTCTGGGCACCAGCCTGTGCTGACCTGCCAGGCGCTCATAGCCAAGTGTTGTGGACAAACGGCTTCCCTCTTGCTTGGAAAGACTCGGACGCCAGGGCTCCCCCAGCCGGGCTGGCCTCACCGGGAGGCAGGGCAGCCTCCGACTCCGGCCGCTCTCCTCTGGGCCTCACCCTCCTCCCGGTCCGCTTGGGCAGCAGCACCGCCTACCTGCTCCCCAGAGTTCACACGGGAGCCCGAGGGGTGTCGGAGGGCTCCCAGGAGCCTCAGAAGCCGCCGGAGTGGGCGACCCCAGGAGGAGCAGCTGGACATGGCCCTGCCCTTGACCGTCACGGAGCAGGTGTTTCTGTTTCCTGTCAGGCCGTCTGGGTGCAGTTCTGCCTGAGCAGGGCCAGTGCCCTAGTACTGGGTTTCGTCCCACAGCCCCCTCGGGTCCCACACTGAGTAGCCTTTGTCAGCAGTAAAGGGACACTCATCCTCCAGCAGCTGCATTTTCACTTTGTTTCTCCAGAACTTCGGGGGAGGAAGCTGACCCTCGGGGCAGCCGTCATGAACGTGGAGAAAGGGCACCGAGGACGGTGCCGACCAAGTGAGCCAGGGCAAGGCTTTGAGGGACCAGGCGCTCGGCCTCCCCCCGGGCTCCCGGGTCACCACTCCTGACCTGGAACCACCACCGTTGGGACCTGAGGCCGCCGTGTCAGGGCCGGTGCCCTGGGGTGGTTTACTTGTGCGGTTGTCTCCTCCCGGGGGCCTGGGCAGGAGAACTGGAGGTTTGGGGCCACGCGGCTTTGACCTCATGGGTGACCACGGCTTGCGGTGGCTCCGTCCACACAAGCGATGGTTTCCACAGAGGCAGGAATTTAAGCAAAGGCTGCTTGGGCCTCCCTCACTGAGGCACAGGCCACGTGCAGGCACCTGAGAGTGGGTGGGCCTTGTGGAGGACCTTGACCTTGACCCCAAACCACAGTTAGACAGGCCTGGGGGCAGCAGAGCCTGAGCACAAGCCAGTTAACAAAAGGGCAGTGGTTGAGGCCGGAGGGGGCGGGCGGGACAGAGCCCAGGACACACCTTCCGGAGCTGAGATTCTTTGCTTTTTGCTCAGTGAGACACTCGACACTCGAGCCTGCCCGGTGGCCAACCCCCTTGCATCATCGGTGGGCAGTTGTGCCACGACTCTGTGGACTCCTGATCCCAGTGCTCTGGCCACAGCTGCATGTGGACTCGCTGCATATACAGCCATGTCACCTGTGAGGACTGAGGCCCAGCCTGTCTTTATTTTTTGCCTCCTGAGGGGGCTGCCGGCTCCAGTGACATGTCTAATGGAAGGGGACGATTGTGCCAGCGTTCCTTGCCCCCAACCTTAAAGGTGCTTTCAGTGTTTCATCGTAAGTGTGATGCCTGCGCTGGTTACTGTTTGCAGATACCCTTTATCAAGTTAAGGACGTTTCCTTCTATTTGATATTCTAAGAGTCTTTTGTTTTTTTACATCTCAAAGATGCTAAATTTTAACAGTATTTTATGATTCTACAGGGATGACCATATGATTTTTCTTTTAATATCCATGCTGTGAGTTACACTGATTAATTTTCTAATGTTAAAACGTCTTTGCCTTCCTGGATATGAGGAACTACCTTTTAAAAGATATGTCCCTGGATTCAGTTTGTTAGTAATTTGTTTAGGATTTTTGCATGTTCGTTTATGTATGAGATCAGACTATAATTGTCCTTTCTCAGAATGTCTTTATTAGGCTTTGAAATGAAAGCCATGTTGGCCTTGTAAAATGAATTTGGGATGTTTCTTTTATACATTTTTAGGGAATGTATTTGTTTACTATTGCTGCTGTAACAAATTACCACAAATGTAGTGGCTTTAAACAGTACAAATTTATTTATCTTATGATGTTGGTAGTCAGAACCGGACTAAAATCTAAGTGTCAGGCACAGCTGTGTGCCTCTGGAGCCTCCAGGGGAGAATCCCTGTCTGCCGTTTCCAGCCCCTGGAAGCGCCCACGTTCCAAGGCTTAGGGACTCTTCCGCATCACAACCAGCAGTGCTGCCCCTCCGACCCTGCTTCGCCGGCCACACGTCCCTCCAGCGGGCCCCCCGAGACCACCCAGGACCACCTCCCGGTCTCAGGCCCTCTGCAGCCTGCTGCCAGGTGAGGAAGCACACTCGCCTGACCCGAGGGCGTGGGCATCTCTGGGGTGGCGGCAGTGTCCCACCTACCACGGGAGAGCTGGTCAAATGCCTTTCCTCTTGAGACGCCTGAGAGGATTCGTGGCCCAAACTGTAGGGGGATTTTAATTATAAATTGTCTTTTATTAAGAAATTTTGTATTTCTTATATCAGTAAATTAACTGTCTAAAGTATTTTCTGTTGATACTTCTGTATTTTCTAATTTATCAAAGACACTTTAATGGCCCAGGATCTGTAGTGACACTCTTTTTTCATTCCCCGCTCTTGCCTTTTAACTTTCAGCCTTTAAGAAAAAAGACCGGCTTACTGAGGCTTAATGTACAGAGAGGAAGAGGTTGCTGACGTGGCCACTTGCACGTGCTTTACGAACGTCGGTGGCCACGCAGCCCCCTCACGCCGTGGGTCTGGGGACCTGCGCCAGCCGCCAGATGCCCTCCTGCCTCGGAGGCCAGGCCGCCCCCCAGCAGGGCCGTCTTCTTCCCTAACGCTGCCTTTTGCCGAAAATGTAGCTACACGTCAGCTTTTGGCTCAGTGTACACGATGTACCTTTTCCTATCAGGACAGAAAGCTTTGGCTCACTCTTGTAAAGTGACACAGCTGGTTTTTAAAAACTTCTATCTAGAAAAATTAGAGCATGTGATTACTGATTTATTTGGGTCTAAATCTACCATATTACTAAATGCTTTTTAGCTGTCACACCTGTTTTATTTCCTTTACGTCCTTGCTTCCTTTTGGATTATCATTTATGAGACCAGTTTTCCTTCTGCTGGCTTGAAAGGTACATGTGTTCCAACGCGTACGTGGTCCTTCCTGAGTCTCACGTTACCCGGCTGACGGGACTTTTATCCTCTTCCCAGTTAATGCAAGAACCTCCTCACTGCATGCGTCCCACTCTCCCAACTTAACATGTCCCTGCAGTCTTGAATTTTTGTTCCCTCTGTATTTCTAGCTCGACAGGACATTTTCATGGTTTTACACAACGTATTCCTTTGTGTGTCAGTATTTTTGAAACGTGACCTAGTTATCCTCCTGCACATGCAGTAGGAGGGCTCCTGGCCTGGACTTGAGTCCAAGTCCGCCTGCCCCTGGCCTGGCTTCTCCCCTGCAACACACCTCTCCCTCTGCTCCGTGAGCATCTGGCCTGTGAGTCAGACTTCCGCCTGCTCGCTGGGCTAGGCTTATGAACCCCTTGTCTGTTCCCTGCCTGTCTTCCCGGTCCTCTCTGTTCACTGATCCTCTCCGCCCCCCGGGGGCACAGGCTTCGTCGGGAGCCTGCTGTCCCAAGTATCTGGGTGGCCCTCCTCCCCTCCTGCTTCTGAAGCTGCTTCAGTCCTTCAAGGCCCAGTCACACCCACCCCCTTGCGTCCCTGCGCTCCACGGCCAGGGGCAGGAGCCCTTCTCAGGCCGCTCCACAGGGGCCTCATCAGTTTGTGCTCCCATTTCCTGGCCAAACGGGAAAACGGGGCCTAAAATGAGTTCATCTTCAAAATGGAGATAGTACTCATCCTGGTAGTGCTTGGAAGCTGAAATCATAGTCTGTACGAAAGAACTTACAAATTCAGAGTCGTCGGTACAAAGATTAATGGTTGGCGGTGAAAGGCAATTCTTGTTTTACATGCTTTATGGAAAAAAAATAAAACATGTCTAGCTTTATTTTGTTCCCGGGAAATTTGACTTAAGCGCCAGTGGCTAATACCTCACTCTGTGACCTTGGAGAATTAATAAGCTTCATTAGGAGAAGCTGAGCGTTATCCAGGCGGATCTCACTGTATTTGCATATCCTGTGCTGATCGGCGCCATTTTTCCAACAGCATTTGCTCACTTCGTGTCTGTGTCACAGTACTTCAAACTGTACACAGTACTTCAAACTGCCTCATCATTATATTCGTTACGGTGATCTGTGATCGGTGATCTTAATGTTACTACCACGGCTTGCTGCTCGCTGAAGGCTTGGGATGGTTAGCCTTTTTTTTAGCAATTATTAACTAAGGTATGTGCACTGTTCTTTAGACATAAGCTGTCGCACACCTGACAGACTAAAGCACAGTGTAAACATAACCTTTATATGCACGGGGAAGCCAACATTCACGTGACTGACTTTATTTCGATACTCGCTTCATTGGGTGGTCTGGACCCGAGCCCGCACTATCTCCGAGGTCCGCCTGGACTGTAATTGTTTAAAAACATTTTTGTTCTTTGCAGTGCAACTCTTCTAAAATACAATCTTATGTGGAATCCCAGATACACGAAGTGAATTCAGGATTCACACTGTGGGCGTGCACGTCACAGCAGAGTCACTAGCAGCCCAAGGTGACGGCCCTTCTGTTCAGCTCCGGGTCTGAGGTAGGTTTCCGTGACCTTTTCAACTAGGAACTGAATAACTGTTTTAACATGCCAGCAACCACTCTGGCATTTAAAAGTAACTTTATGAAAGTTCAGGATAGCTGTTTATACACAGCTTGATGTAACAGGCTACGAACAACCACCACTCGCAGCACATCACGGAGCTTGCCGCGAAGCTCCTGGGCTAAGGCTCAGCGCTGCAGCACTGACCGGGCTTGGGAAGCCAGGCTACCTGCCCTCAGGGGCTCACCGACTCTCCCGCTCCCACCTTCCAGAGGCTGGGCATTACTGATCCTGAGAAGAAAGTGCAGAGCTTTCTCTGTGATGCTTGTAACTTACTTTACTAAACTGCAGAAATGCAAAAATGGAATTTAAAGTGTTGGTCCAGATAAGCTGTGCTACAAAATGAAAGGTTTTATTTGCAACTTAATGCAAATTCATGAAAAAAATACACTGCTCAGAATCTGACATGGGCTAAGTAAAACATTCTGTTATCTGAAAAATACTGCTAATATACCTCTGTCTTAAAATAATTCAAACATATAATTAAATTCTCAAACATATTATTCTCAAACATATAATTAAATAGTTCTGGTAAGATGTTTAAGATCATGGTTTGCAAAAAGAAGAGTTACAGTAATTTAAATGCAGTTTAGTGAAGATGTAGATACATTTTATTTGTCAGGTGTAAATATCAGTTTCATTTAGAATATTCAAGTACAAAAAATGAAAACTTATGACTGTTAAGAAAAAGTTAGAAGCCATTAAATCGTTCTGCAAATACTGAGGCACTGAATTCAAATATCCTTTACAGTACGAATTATCTAAATTTTTATCTTTAATATTCAGATGTTCATAGTAACTTTTTTAAGAAATATTTTTAATAAGATGATTCAACTTTATTATTTATTTTCCCTGGAAGACAGTTTGCAACAAGTATGTAATACAGACTCATGCAAACAGTGTGAAGACACCCAGTTCCAAAGGTACTTATCACCAGAAGAGGGCTTATTTACCTGAGTGTTTCTGCTTTAAACATGTTGTTTCATCACAACAACCCGTGGACCACAACACTGAAGCACATATTATGTAATTTGATGCAAAAGCTTACGATCATGTTACCAATTGGATAATTGTATGAAAAATTTTAAAGTTCTATAGAACTATTGAGCTTAGAGTTTCAGGTACATAATACGTTTTAAAACATATTCCCAAAAGTTTACACAAAAGGTTCATCTTGGAATATGTATGCAATCAGAGCCGCAATATAAACGAGTCCTGTACTTTCAAAGGCACCGACACTCTTGTCACAGCAAAGTGACAGCAAGCACTGGGCAGCAGGAGAAATGATCTCGGTTCATCACAAACCAACAACTTAAACTTCTAACAGTGCGTGAGTAACGTCATCCAGTCTGGCTTATGTACTGACCTCATACTTCAACTGTGGCCTTTTGCCAGATATAGAGTAAGTGATACAGCGTAAGTGATACAGCAAATAAAAACAGCAAGAAAATCAAAGCATACTTCTCACAGTTTAATAACTTTGCTTGTGATGATCTTCTGTGATGAGGAACCTTTGTTTTACATAAAACTGGAGCTGGAAAGAGAAAAAAAACCTTTTGATTGGTACAACAGAAAACCATATAGGAATAAAAATCACTGGTTTTACAAAGCTTTTACAGAAAGAGCAGATGTACATCGAGGATATGATAGGATATCTAGCCATGGGACTCTGGAAAAGAAAAGAAAAAACAAACACCAAAATTTCTTGAGGGGAAATTTTTCTGAGCTCTCAAACTATGGGCTTGGCCCTGATTTTGCAAACAGCAGCCCATACCTTACTTCCACAAGGTGATTGTAAATGGTTTTTCGCGTATGGAATAAAGTCAGGGGAGTCCAAATCTAGTAACACTGGACTAAGTTGAGATGATGAGGTGAAAGACCCCTCAGCTTTAATTCGAGGCACACCGAAAACAAGTTATAAATTCTGTTTATACACTTCGGTCCTATGGATCCGAGGGTTCCACATCTGAGGATTCACCTGACTGAGGATCGAAAATACAATATTTGGGAAAAAATAACAGAAAGTTCCAAAAAACAAAACTTGAATTTGCCACTTGCTGGCAACTATATACCTAGCATTTCCATTCTATTTACGTTGTATTAGGTGTTGTAAGTAATCTGTAGATGATTTAAAGTGTACAGGAAAATGTGCATAGGTTCTTTGCGAAAATTGTGCCATTGGATATGAGGGACTTGAGCATCTGTGGATTTTGGTGTCCTCGGGGCATCCTGGAACCAGTCCCCCCGACAAAGATGACGAGGGTGGTTAACCTTTTGAAATTCAGTGTATTCATTTTTTCTAGGCTCTGGGGGTGGATACATCAACGGACAAAACAGAGATCCACTCCCTGGAAGAGCTTATGTGAAAAGATCATACATGAGAATTCCTTCTTCCCCAAAACCATAAAATCCAGAGGCCAATTAAATGCACCCAAAACCGTGTGGATTTACTTCTCCATAGTTCAAAAATGGAAAGCTATCATCATGGGCGATGTTATGTTCTCCTACCTTTTTGAAGGTGACTTACAATATTCTGAAAATACCAGTCTGAAATATGATGTGGTCATAAACCTGAGGGCTGCCCTTTGGGGCACGGGAGAACCTGAGCTCCCCACGTGGAGGGGGCTGGGTGCTCAACAGAGCGAGCAAACAAGCAAAGTGATGAGGACATTTAAGCGGGAGAAATAAATGAAAAAAAGGAAGAAAAAAACCCTTATTTTCTAAGACTTTGGTTACGTTGTCTTTAACACATACCCCAGACCTACAAGCCTTGGGACCATCCCCCACCTGCTACCAAGGCCGCCCCGATGCACGGGGGCCCTCTCTACCTTCCTCTGCATCTTTACGTCCACCACTCGTTTCACAAGCTCTGACATCAAAGCACAGGAGTTCCAATCGATAGCCTGGTTCCCTTATTAAAATAAGAATTCTCATAAAATCATTATCAGAATTTGTTTTAAAAAAGTAAACCTAAGAATTACTTTTTTTAATCAACTATTATGTCTATGATTCCCCCCAATATACAGCCTCTGTCAGGCATGAAATGTGACATAACTAACGGGGGGAGGGGTGGTCAGCAGTTACTAGACGTGCCCTGGAGCAGCCAGTGTCCCAAGGTCGCTGACCCTTACGTGTTGTAGATTTCTATTTCGTTCGTTCATTCACTTCAGACTTTCACTCAAGGATGCACAGAGCACGGAAGACGTGCCAGGTGCCCTTCTAGCTGCTGGGGAATCAGCACAGCAAGAGGGACAAGCTCTCTGCTCTCAAGGAACTGATGCTTTAGCTGCAGGAGCAGATGGGAGTAAGGAGACAGGGTGAAGCGCCCTGAAGGTCGGGGCAGTGAGACAGGCGCGGGGTGGGGGGCGCTTACTTCTTGCGGTCCTTGTCCTTCCGCACGTTACCACCCGGGGTCATAAAGGGCTGGCTTTGGTATATCTCGGAGGTAGCTTTCTTCTTAGAGAAGGCGATTATTTCTTCTTCCAGAAGTCTTCTCTTCTCCTCAAGCCTCAGCTTCTCCTCTTGGTGTACTCTCTTAAGGTGCTCAAACTTGGCCTGGAGCTGTGAAGTGAAGTACGGTTCCCGCTGAGGGACGTGCTGGGGCAGCCCATGCCCCGGCACCTCCCCACTGCAGTCCTGCTCACGCGGCCTGCACAGTGACATGTGGAATTGCTCTAACTTTAACTCTGAATGAGCTGCCATGCAAAAAACGCATGAACAAAACATAAAAACAGCCTCATGCACAAACCTCAGTTTTTTAAACGTTTGACCTCTTAGAGTTTTTCTTTTGCTCTACATTTTCCCCACAAAGCCTCTTCAAATAAAGTTTCAAAAATCCATTCTTAATAAAAGTGAGGGACAAATTACAAAAGCAAGTTATCAAAAAGAGGGAAAAAAGCCCTTATTTTCCAAATAAATTTACTACGTGGTAGTGAAATAGCTGTTGACTATACTGGTGAACCTGTTTGGAAAGCAAGTGTCAATTTAAATCAAGAACCTTAAAATCTGTTATGTTTCCCCCACGGTCATTCACCTTCTTGAAATCTAAACTAAATCAAAAAGTCCTGAATTTAGATTAAAGTTTTATACATAAAAATACAGTTGACCCTTGAACCTTGCAGGGTTGAAGACGCCAAACCCCGCTGGTTGAAGATTCGCGTGTGTCACAGCTCCGTAAGCACAGATGCACCGGTGCAGTCCTGTGGAATCGGTGAGTGAGAAACATCCACGTATAAATGGGCCCGTGCAGCTCAAACCCAGGTGGTTCAAGGGTCAGCTGCACTGGCTGGGTTTACACCATAATTGGGAAAATATGCCTGTGTCTCTAAGAGAGAGAACATTTTAAAATTCACTTATGCTAAATACACTCGGTGCAGTCATTAAAATGAGTTTTGCCAAAGTTTGTAACAGTACAACATGAGAATTCCCTGGTTTGACTGTTGTTTATCTGAAAAAAGATCTAGAGACTTCAGCAGGTTCCTTACGAATCAGCTGTGGTGCCAGGAACACAAGCACAACATCTAGAATCTGCATCAAAAAATAGCTTTGTTTTTGGTTCTCTGGTCTGGTTAGATAAATTTTCAATTAGTATTTTCAGTTCTGGGCAGCAACCTAACATTTATACAAAAAGTAGGACTTGGTTTCCAGAAAAGATGGCTTATGATCACTGAGGAAATTCATCAGAGGCTGAGGGCAGAGAGCTACGCTGCTTCCTAATAAAAATCAGATGTTCCAGATACGGAGCGGGCTGGCGAGTGAACCGGCAACCCTGATGGCAGAGTTTACAGGATAGGGTTGAAACAGATGAAGTAAGGCCCGAAGATTCTCTTATTCCTGAGGATGTCATTTCCAGAGGGATCAGTTCCTTAGTATTTGCTTATGTAAGTGGTTCCTTATAAAGGAAGGAAGCATGTTCTTTATAAAAAGAAACATAAATCGGTGGTATGAATACACAGACTGGCAGCTCTCTGAGCATGCTTGCACTCCGTGGATTTGGGAGAGGAGCGGGGCAGCTGGCGGGTGACGCCTGGAAAGAGAGGCCACAGGGCAGATTTACGTTATGTGAACAGAGATACATCTCTGACAGACACTTAAACGGAGGGTGCACACTTTATATCCTTAAATATCCTGAAAGGTTATGGAGTACTTCATATATCATTTATGAGGTTGACTAAAAATTCCAGGAAAACTATGAAGAGAAAAACGTCTTAGAAAGGGGTCAGGGGGCATGTGACTTATTCACATTCTGTGGAGTTCATGGCTTTCGTCAGTGACAGTCTCCTCCACCTGCAGGAAGCGCTTGCTCACAGCTCCAATATTCACTACAAGGCCTTCAACTCAGACACATTTTCAAGTTCTTCTGTGCTGTTAAACTACTCACGGATGCTCTGAAGCCTCTATGGCCAATGTGGTACGCTGCTGTCTCTTGTAAACCTGCTTCTAAGGACACTATACATGCTGTTGCTCAGTGATCCTTTTTAAAGTATCCATTTTAAAAAGTGAATACCAGAGACAACATTCCTCTCTTGCCAAACTAGTCAGTGTCTTTGACCTCTGTACTTGGCTGGAGACCCCGGAAGTGTCACTGACAAGCACCCAGCGCTGCGGCTCAGCTGCACTGAGTGCAAACCTCGCTGCTCATCCTGGACTCCCCACGTCCAGGTTCTAGTGCAGCTGTACTTGTTTACTGAAAATTATCTAGAATACTTTTAGAAACAGGAGAGGCATAAATACTAAGTGAACAACTAACCAAAAAACAGACTTGCCTATAAAATTCAGAAGTAGTAACATTTTAATGTTGGTCATGCACTTCACCTGAGGGATAAATATAAAGTGCACTTTTTCTTGTGGTGGGGAAGGGCTGTGCATCCAGGATGATGTTAACAAAGATGCCATTCAAACAGTATCCTGACATGATATCTGTCCTGTGCATCTGCCTACTCTAGTTACCTGACGCTCACTGCATTTTCAGCTAACTCTGTACTATACATGAAAATCCGCCAAATTCATACAAAAGGTGAATTGCCAAGGATATTTTAATAACAAGGCCATCTAATACAGACCTAAGTAACCTTTTGGGTTACCTGCCAGTATCTTATTGATGTAACTAGCTTTGAATGTCCCACTTTGCCCAGTAGAGACCTGGTTTACACCTACCTATTGTCCAGTGTAACTACTAAAAAGCCTCCTTTCCCTCTAAAACTGCACTTACACTGACGGTAGATTATATGGCCCTCCTTGGTCCTTCAATTGATGGCTCTTTTTTAAATTTTTTTTAAAATTTTTGGCTGTGTTGGGTCTTTGTGGCCTTGTGCAGGCTTCCTCTAGTTGCGGTGAGTGGGGGCTACTCTTCATTGCGGTGCACAGGCTTCTCATTGTGGTGGCTTTTCTTGTTGCGGAGCACGGGCTCTAGGCCTGCGGGCTTCAGTAGTTGTGGCTTGTGGGCTCTAGAGCACGGGCTCAGTAATTGTGGCTCGCGGGTTCTAGAGTGCAGGCTCAGTAGTTGTGACACATGGGCTTAATTGCTCCGTGGCATGTGGGATCTTCCTGGACCAGGGCTCGAACTTGTGTCCTCTGCATTGGCAGGTGGATTCTTAACCACTGCGCCACCAGGGAAGTCCTAACTGATGGCTCTTGAGTTATGCGAGTGAAGATGACCCCCAGATGCCCTGCACCAGACCTGACTCTAACGTACCAGCCTTGCAGGATGAAACTGGTCATGAGGGAACTTACTAATATTATTGTAATATTAATGAAACAGGCCAGTAATCTGCTTCTAAACCTATATAATTAAAAGTTTAGAACTCTTGTGACAACTTGGTTTAAACTAACTAACTTCATTAGTTTTAATATAATATTCTTAACACGAAACCGCTTGAATCACAAAAATAAACATCTATGAAGCACCTACTGACAAATAATACTTCTCTTTTTCTTTCAACCATTTGGTCACTCTGAATTTTCAATTTCCTTTTAAACAATATGCATTTAAGCAAATTATTCTTATGTGGGGTTTGAAAAATTAAAATTCAACTATAAACCACTTCTACATCTTCTCTCCTCACTGGAGAAACTGAGAACCATGATGTATGAGAGAGAAACTCTTAAAAGAGAAGCATCTACTAATCAAAAGAAAAATCAGCACCCTATTTCCTACTCATCACAACTCCTTCCTCAATATTTGTATTTAAAAATAACTCCAGGGACTTCCCTGGTGGTCCAGTGGTTAAAAATCTGCCTTCCAATGCAGGGAACGCGGGTTCTATCCCTGGTCGGGGAACTAAGAACCCACATGGCGTGGGGCAACTAAGCCTGCATGCCACAACTACTGAGCTCGTGTGCCACAACTAGAGAGGAGCCCATGCATGCACCGCAACGAAAGATTCTGCGTGCCACAGCTAAGACCCGACACAGCCAATAAATAAATAAATAAATAAATATTTTTAAATAAATAAAAATAACTCCAAACTAGGAACTGTTTTCAAATAAGAGATTGAACAAAACAGAACACCCAAATGCAATATGAGACCTAAGATTGAATTCTGGTTCAAAAACAAAAAATCACCGAACAGAAAGCAACAATAAAAGACAATCTTGGGACGAGTGGGGAAATTTGATTGTGCACTGGGGATTAGGAGAGTCTGTGGCATGCTATTCCTGTTCTTAGGTGTAGTACTGGTACTGTGGTTATGGAGGAAAATGCACCTGAGCTTCACAGATGCATGAAAGTGCCTGTGATAAAGTGTTGTGATGTCTACAACCAGCTTTCAGACGACCAGGGAAACACACACACTAAAGACAGCAAAACGTCTATCCTAAGTCTAGGTGTGGGGAGGGACACAGGTACCCCGTACTTTCACTTTCCCATTGTTTGAACTTTTTCAAAATAAAGATCAAAATTCAAATTATAAACAAGATAGATTATTTTACAAAACCACTTACTACAGAGTTTATTGAAATAGCAAGTACTATAAGGGTACTTAAAATAATAAATTTGTAGCATTAAATTACTTTACAAATAACTCTTCAGGAACTCTTACATCGCAAGTTCATTTGTATTAACATTTCTGTCTTCTCTTAGAGATTCCTTTTTGCAGCTCATCCTTTTTGACCCTCATCTTAAATGTGGCCATTTATTTAAAAGCAGCCATTACAGTAAAGTCTACAGAAAATACCTTAACTCAAGTAAAACTAAAACTGATCCTTGGAGAACCAGAAGCAAACCAAACTCACTGCGGATGGTTTTGCGCCCAGGCTGCCCAGACCACCCACCTCCAGGAAGCCTGACTTCAAACTCAAAGGCTAGTTAACAGCTCTCAGAGTCACCTACTTCAAACAACAATCCCAAGGACTCAAAACTCTCAGAAAAGGCTTCATCAAGCCACAGCTAAAACACTTCTGGCTCCTGGTTAAGGTATTTAAAATGCTTCTTAGTAACCTAGTTCTTTACAAGTCCTCGATAAACCACTTCTAATGGAAGATACCTTGTTCAAAAAGGCAAAAATTTTTGTTTCCAGCCTATGCTTTTTTTTGGAAGTCTGCATCCAAAGAGTATGTGTTAAAATACAACAGCTGCTTTTTAAGGAACAACTAGTTTTCAAAACCATCTCGGAATTCTTGAGATAATTATCCCCAGGTTAACAGGACACCCCAAATAAGTGCACATCCCAACAAACCAGCGCACTTGCCTCTCTCTCAGCTTCTTTCAATACGGCTTCTTTCTCCTTCACACGCTGCACAAACAACTGCTTCATTTCTTCCTCCTTCCTCTGACGTTCACCATAAAATTCGTGTCTTTTGGCTTCGTAGGTCTCCTGAAGACTGAAAAATTATTTATGGTACTCTCATATTAGCGAGATTACATCACAAACTTGCGAACACTCGGTCCGCGTTAGGCCCCGTGACCATCACAGCACACGTGGCTCCAGGGAGCGCGGATCTGTCTGCGGGTCCCTGCTTTGCCGGTGCTCCCAGAGGTGCTCATCTCACCCCAGATGGATTCCTCCTTCCACCTCTGTTGGTTCCTCCCCTCCCCTCATTGCCACGTCCGATCACCAGGCTCTGCGGGCTCAGCCTAAGACCCCGACATCACATCAGTCCCGTCTTGTTTTGATTTCTGCAGACACCGTGTTCAGCCCAACTTGATCTTTGTGCTTTTCTGCCTTCGCTACTGGAATAATCTCCCAGCTGAGCTCTAGGCTTTTAGTTCCT